TTGGGGTGCCCCCCCCCCAGTATGAAAGACCTACTGAGTCTGTGGCTTTCATTCCTGACCGAAAATCGATGAGCCAGGATGTATGAGAGGCTCCTGCTCTCTACCCACCAATCTCCTGCCAGATTCCCAGGTAACTGTCTCATAAAAAAGGAATAAGAGAGTGAGGAGTAGGCTTACCCATATCCGCTTTCTTAAAACAATTTTCATAGAATCGAATTTACGTTTTCCACCGAAGAGAGAAAATCTCAAATACAGATGTAAATGTCTGATATGTGTAAACACCTCTTTCCAAGTTTTACTTTGTTCACTTAGGCTGAAGCTGCTTTAAACGCCAGAGATGATGTAGGTTTGTGAATTTGAACTGTTGGTACAGGAAGCTGTGAAAATGTTACTTTTGGGCAATTTCGGTAGAAAAATGGTAAGGACCAAAATCTTCATCAATTTTCTGACTTACTAAATTGTAAGTTTATTGGTCTAACATAAAACCTATACATCTTCAGAAAAATAAATATTTCATTAGCACCTGACCTGTCTTATGTGTACATGAACACATTTAGGCTAATTACCCTTAAAGACTGTGCTCAGATAATCCCACATGTGTAAAATAGTCACATTGATGAGTAACTTTGATTTGGAGTTTTTAAAAAACAGCTCTGTATCTTGCCATCTGCGGAAGCTCTTTGAGCTACAATAACATATTTGGTGATAAAGGTCAGTCTACAGTAAAAAAATCTGCTCTCTTCAATCAAAGTCCCAGGCAAATGTCTTCTCTGGTCAGGTGACTGACGTATATGTACCCCACTGACATGAGTTACTCACATGCTGGTACTTGGTAATATGCAGCTTTATAAATTAAGAACAGTTAATAATGTTAAGATTTGTTTAAAGGAGCCTTAAACTAAAAATCCTGTAATCATCTTCCTGAAATGAGACAGAACCTACCACACAAATGGTTTAGTCGGTCTCCCATCAATCTATCCAAGTTCTGTGTACTGAATTAGGAATGGCTGGTGTAATTGTATAACACATGACTATGGCCCCTGGGGTTAGATTTTCCATCTTACACAAAGTGGAGACAAGGAAATGGGAAATGCTTCTAGAATTGGTTGTAATTGTGACTGGCGGCAGCTAGGATTGTGCTCCGCCTGACACTGGAGGTAGTCTGGTTTAGTGCGGCTTGGCCTAAAGGATGAAAATGAATGGCATGCTGGGTTTAAATGAACTCTTTTTGACGTTAGTGGAGATGCTTGTGTGTCTCTGACAGTCTCTCTCTGGTACATGATGCTCGTTTAAGGATGACAGGAGGTTAATCAAGCTTTAAAGAACGAGATTACAACTGACATGACAAGTGGGATTGAACAGATTTGGCACACTGACTGAAAAAGCATGCTGCTAAATCCTTTTTATGCCAGCAAACAAATGAAATAAAATGTTATCAATCAATCCCTCAATAAGCTAAACAAAAGTACAGCTCAAAGACTACAGTTGTAGTTTCTAAATAGTGAAATAAAATAGCCTCTTCAAATCACGGACACACGAGTATCAACCCATCAGAGTGCTTTAAGTGATTGAGATGTTTTCTGTCATCATGCTGTCTATTACAGGCAAACTATTTATTCCTGCTTTAGATCTTCGTTGTGCTTAGAAATGGGCTGGAGGAAAGGAAAAAAAAACCTCCTTATGTGAGTAAATATTTTTGTTTTCCCACTAACAACGGATGAGACAAGTCCCCGTTATGTCCTGAACCAGCTGAATTCATTTCCATATTCCATTTAGGAGAAAAGAATCCATGGAGTCGGCATGTCAAACGGATTTTCTTCTCTCATCACCTCAGACTAGAGAATGCATGCAGCTCTTTATCAAACCTGTACTGCGCTCCATATCAATAAATAGGGAGCTGTCGGTGCATAATACCTGCTGGTACTTTTACAGTGGTGTTCAGGAGGAGAAAAAATATAGTGTGCTAAGAGGAGTCTGATACACAATACCATGCAGGAAATACAACTATTACAATGGGGTTTGTTGTGTCAGATAAAAAATGGAGGGGTGTCATGGGTGTATGGAACATTAGATGAAAAATGGACAGGAATTCATAAGTAGAGATAGGCAGTGTTTAGTAGTTCAGCGATCCAAAAACAACTAATCTTTTTAAACGCGTGGCCAAACTCAGAATCATTTACATGAGCCTAGAACAATAGAGCTGTGTATCCATGCAAAAGGGAGCTGTCCATCAACGACAGTACGCTTCAGTGTCCAACATGCACTACGAGATGACACAGGAGCCTCAGTTGGCTTAGCACACCAACCTAGCTTGAATGCTAACTTGACCTGCATTGATTTAATGTTAGTCTGTAAACTTTAAGCTAACTGTGGAAGAGGAGGGAGGGGAATGAAAAGGGATTCATTGTTAGCATGTAAGAACTAAGTGATTAGTGTAGCATTCTTTGTTTAGCCTGCTGTGGCATTAGCAGGGATGGACAACATTCGAGTGCCGGTTTCCATCTGGTTTTAGATTAAAGTGAGTGATTAGCAACGACTGCAGAACGAGATGAAGGCTGAGGAGATACATCAGCAGTTAGAATCAGATGTCTTATTGCAGGTTTCACCGACAGCGTACTGTCTATATGACTTAAGCTGCATTATGGTCTTATTCTATTGTGTATGGGCTACCTTAACACGTGAATTTCCCCACTGTGGGATTAATAAAGCTGACTCATGGATTCATTTATTCATTCAAAACCCACGGCCACAGTGTCCCTCCGTTTGCCCTTTCCGGGGGGGGGCTTGTCTCCAGTACGGCTTTAACAACAATGTCATCATTGTGTGAAAATCATACTCAAATATCTGTTTAGCTTAATTACCCTGGACTATGTTGGTAGTATGTTCTGTATTGAAGCTAGAAACAGCTAACTGAGCTGTAAATAACTTAAACCACAATCCATCAGATTTGTTTAGTTTTTGGGCCAAACACAGCAGTTAGTACTTACATCAGTAAAATGAAAGCAAGTGTATAGATACCAAGCAATTACACTATACTACAATAAAAACATAGGTCTCATGCTGCATCTCACGTTTAGTCTGTACTCTTGTTTGATTTAAACGAACCCCTTGTGTTTAAAACAGACACATAATACTCTGTTTTGAAGTAAGCAGAAAAGGCTAACTAACTTTAGCTAAAAACGTACTAAACAAACAAAAAAAAACTTGATTTGCTCACACATTTTTATTCTAGCCATCAGTCTACCTAATTATCCTTCCCCAGTGGTGCCCTCTCCAGGACCCATCAAACCTACCAGAGGTGTTGTCACTTCAAGCCAGGCAATGACTCATATAAACCAGTGTAACCATTCTCAACCATCCCTGGTTGTGGAAAACAGGATATAAATAACAATGCATGTCTTTGAGTTTATGAGTAACCACAACTATTATAAATCCATATTTTGAAGAATCTTCTACTGAACCTTCGTCCAAAATGTTTACTCCTACAGTTGCTCCTGTTTATTAAAGGGAGATTCCACCCAAAATTGAATTTTTGTTTGTTGACATTTTTCCCAGAGTTAGATAAGTGGGGAAACTGTGTTTTATGCTAAGCTAAAGCTAAAGGAGTACAGTCAGGTCAGGAGAATGACTGGGCTGGTTAGAAATAATGTTTTCCCACTTATCTAACTCTGGGAAAAACGTCAACAGACAAAATGTCTATTTTGGGTGGAATATCCCTTTAAAGTGGCTCTTCCTTCCATTACACTAACATCCTGCATCTTTGCAGGTGTCACCTTGTCAATAAAGCAACCACATGATCAAAAATCCATCTATTAACTAAACCTTTTAAAAAAACAGTAAAAAAAACTATTAGGTTTAAAATATATATATATATATATATATATATATATATATATATATATATATATATATATTCTGGATTTTTAAAATCCTTAAAAATACACATCTTTCAGCAACACAGGTGTTTGCCATGCACAGCAGCTACAATAAAAACATAAAACAGCCATCAAAATTCTAGTTGCTAATTCAACTGAAAGAAGAATCAAAAGAGTGCTATTGCATACCCTTATACTATACACACGCACTATAGACAAGCAAGAACAGTATCACACACAGACATTAAGAAGTGAAGGCAACAAAAGTGCAGTTCAGACGCTACAAAGCAGGAAGAGACATCATCCTGTTGCAGTGCAGGCCATCAAGAAGAAATAAGAGAAAGGGCCACTGTGGCTGCTCGACAACACAGAAGGTGTGCTGAAGGATGTTTTTCTGCTGTATTAACTTAAAAGATTTAACATTTAAGATTAGAGACTAAACTACATAATAGTTTACACACTTTCCATACAAAGGGGGCAACTACACAGATTTTAAATGATAAGATTTACATATAATCACTGTGCCGTTAAAACACTTGTATGTCTATTGTAGTCTTTCACCTTTTTTTCATGCTTATTGGAATGCGATAACCGCAAACCAAAAACACATTAGCTATAGTGATTCTAGAGAAACGGGGGAAATGCTGCCAGATTTAAGAAGTGTAAGTTGCAAAAACAGTCACGTGCTGCTTTTCTTTATTGTTTGACGGCGCTGACCTGAAATAAGAGCTTTTATCATTCATTTAAGTAGATGGTCAAAAGACTGTGTCCATGAAAAATGGTTTGAATGGATATATGTTTCAGTGTCAGCTCTCTCCAGGCTCCTTTATCAAAAAAGATCAATTTTTTTTATTATTATCTTTATTTCATTCAATAAAAAAATAACACAACAGATACTAAACAATATTCATGAAAACACAATATATATTTGAATGAAATTTAAAATATTTTAGGCTTGCTTAAATATATTCAACAGATCGTTGTATTTCAGCACAGCATTCAGTGTTGTCTCTGACCAGCTCAGTGTGGAAGTCGTGACAAGAAAGACGTGCGAATAATTAGCCAAGAGCAGTGCAGTGTGAACCAACATGGTGTTAGGTCTGGGTAAGAAAGGTAGTTACACACCTAGAGTTCTGTTACCATAGTTAGCACCCGGCCACCGAGAAACTGGACTTGAAGGGCTTTGATCACCTGTAACAATGTTGATGGTGGAAAAAAAAAAAGAAAAAGGGACACACAATAAAGAAAGAAAAGTGGAAAAGGAAGAGAGAAAATGCATCAGAGTTGGCACATCTGAGATTTGGCAGAAATGCTCCCAGGAGACAAAAAGCATTAAAATAAACCCACCTGCACAAATGCGTATACCAGTGGCAAAAGCTCATAATGAATGAAAACAATAAGGTACCGATGTTTGTAATGTTTGTTAAGGGGTGATGTTGTAGGTTTTGAAACAGTAAGGAAACGTGTTAATGTTAAGTTATTATGAGATGTTCTTCAGTTATATTTATAAAATGTTAATAACATATTAGAAAAGTCCCAATATAGTTTAAAATATCAGATCTGGTTCGTGATCAAAATGAAAGTTACTGATGACATCTAAACTCCTGATCTCGGCTGTTTTCTGTAAACTACAACAGCTGGTACTAAAGCAGTTAGCACATTCTTAAATAACACAACAATAGACATGTAATATGGGATGCTCTTTTTTTACACAAAGCCCAACATTAAATGCATAAACAAATTCTGTGTGAGACAACACAGTTACATAGCCTAATAATGGATGGCGTTGCACAAACTTAAAAAAAGGCTATTTTAGTGTTGTGTTCAGAAAGATTTTAGATTTACCAACAGGTGCAGGTATAACAAAAATTGGATCTAAATAGAAACATACATATTTATATATGCATATTTTAACATTATGTCATTTTGAAAAAAACAATAAATACTCTTTAAAGGTGTGATGTGGCAACTTCTTCTGAATAACTTCAACTATTCAGGTGATTTTTTTCACGTTAGGCTATAACAAGACATGACAAAAAAGACAATATTTTGTACCTTTTCAAAGTTATCACTGGAAATAAATTGGATATAGACCAAAAGCTTGAATGAAACATATGCAGTAAAGGGAAGCCTGCATATTTAGTCTCTTTTAAATCTGCAAACTCATTTAATAAATCCAAAAAGAAACATCAGTGGAGGTTCGAATAGCATATTATATCTTTCCATGTAAATGCAGCAAAGCTACCACTGAAATAAAAACCCTTCAAAGAGAATTCACTCATTTGTCTTTGAAATACCAAACACCCAGTTCAATTACCTTCTTCTAGGCTTTAGTAAAGGGAAGGTTTTTAGTTAAAGCAAACTTAGACTTCAAAACCTAATTTGGAACTCTTAATATCAATTCTCACTTCCTCATGTTCCAATATGTGTGTCAACCAAAAAAGTAGTTCTTACACAATTACTAAACTGGCTTTGAGTATATTAAAAGTTTCTAGCTGTCTAGAGAATGTTCGCTGTGCACCAGATTGTTGCATAAACCAGGCAGCAAAGGAGATAAAACACTAGAGGTTTGACATCACGGCCGTATGAAACGAGGCGTTAAATACCACATTAAGTTACATTCAAGACTTCCTGCACCGTTTCAAATCGGAACCCCTTCTGAAGTTAATTGGATAGAAACCCTCCCATTGTTAGCAGCACTTTTATTTATTCCATCCCCTAGTGTTTAGCATGTGTGTAGCATGTCTGAGTAAAATGAATCCACTGAAGACACAGACGACCCCCGCCCCCCCCCCCCCACCCCACCCGCAATTTTCTTTCATCGTGATTGCCAGTATGGAGATGGCAGCACCTGTGGCTCATCTGCAGAACTCTGACTTGCATATCATTGACCCTTACTTTTCTGCAAGGTACTACTCCCCAGGGCATGGCCTATTCATCACGGCAGAATGGAATACATTAACACCAGGATTACACTAAATCAGCCGAGGTCCTATTGCTGGGCGCTTTATAAATGGGAAAGGGATCAAATATTTCATTTGCCCTTCACCAGGATACTCGTGATCGTTTCTGTGCAGCTTGTTCCTACACTGAAGCTGTGCTTGTTTATACATCCTTGAAAGAAGTTCAAGTGGAGCAAGATGCAACAATTTTTGCAAGAACACACAAGGGTGAAATTACTTTTTCATGTTAGTAGGAAGCAAACTGTTGTACATAAAGCATTTCCTTTGAAAATAAACTTGGTTAACAGAAAGAGGAGAATAACATTTCTGCACGGACACATTAGGAGACGGTTTTCTTGGCCTACCATTGCGCGGTGTCCGTTTTCGGCGATCCCGGAAAGCTGCTCCAGACTGTAGGGCCTCCATTAGGCTATCCATCACACCAGTTTCATCTCCCTCTGCAAGAGAACAGAAACAAGAAATAAATGCGTTTGTAGGACAAAACGTACAATAACAACATAAAGTATATGACGACAGGATTTTTACAATTATAAATAAAGACACTTTAGTGAATTATTAATGGTTTGGTCTTTGGTGATGAAGGAAGTGTTTAGACTTTGTGTAAGCTTTAACCAGTTCTTGCAGCTGCGTGAGAGTCGACGGAGAGGCCTGTCACTCATGTCAGTCATTTTTCTTTTGGTAAAAAGCTGGAGCAGGGTAAAACACACTTAGCTTCGGTTAGAGTTTAGCTGAGAGGAGCCTCAGGATAAAAGCATCCAGTGATGGTCATTGACAGATATTCTTTCTGTGGCTAACACAGGGGGAGCTAAGTGCTCTTTACAAAGATTTAGTGTGGAGCCGTTCAATACTCGGGTGCTCTATCATTGTTCAGTCAATGACACTGGGACCAGCCTCCGAAAAAACACTCCCCTCGTCTACCATTCCATCTGTCCTGTGGATCCATGAAACCAGAGAAATGAAGGCAGTCAGTGCAAGACGATTAAAGTGCTGTAAGGCCAACAGCATGACTAGCTGTGTGCGTGTAGCGCAGTTCAGAAATAAGCATAGCTCTCATATCTGGGTCATCTGTCTTTACGACCTAATACTAATGAGCTAGAGGGCCAACCTTTTCATCATTTTGGTCTAGAACAGACATTATTTCAAACCAGGATCATTAGAATGAGTTATTGTGAAACCGGAGACTTGGCAATCAATTCATATATATGTGTGTAAACTAACTCTTCTCCATTGTTTACCGTCTTGTTTCTGCAACGTGTTTACAGCTGAAGGGAAACTGTCAGAAATAAGCGGTTGACTGTCCCCAGCACTGGGGTGATCCATCCTGGTTTACCTGTGTGTGTGCTCAACATGAAATCAGTCAGGCAAATTGATTCTCTAAATCAAACACCTTGAGAAGGAACAGCACTTGATTGTTTAAATGAAATGGCACATATTTTGCCTTTACCACAGGAAGTCATCGCTACATGTTGTTCCTTTCTCCTCCCGCAACTCACTCACACGTGTAAAAAGAAACAGTACCACCAAGAATAGAAGCATGTCTTATGCAAATTTTTAAAAGGCAACTCTTAAAACACACTCACTAAATTTACTCTCTATCTCATTCTTTCTTACTCAAGTCCTTCCCAAGGGCTACTTTGAAATCAAAGAAGCTGTGTGCTGTGCTTAAAAGCAATTCCGATTAAATCACGCTTAATTAGACCAGCTTTATCTGAACAAAACCAAAGCCGAGCAAAGTAGTGCTTATCTTAAATTGCACTACACCTCAGATAGATGGCTTGTTGGTTCCAAAACAAGAGCATGGGTTTCGTCTCCTGTGAACTTGAAGAACAATTTGGTGAACAACTTGCTCTACTACAACTGTATCAACTCCCAGGATCTTTAGCCACTCCTGGCTGTATGTAGGCTAGCAGCGGCAGAGTAGGAGTCGGATGGAAGGCAGAACATGTTAGTGAAAGATCAACATTTGTCAGCAACAACTATGCTACAGGAAACTTTCTGACAGCTCTTTCTTCACCCCCTTCTTCAAGTAGACTAGAACATCACAGGGGGCACCTGACACTTTGATCACTTTGTCCTAGTTCCAGCTTAACTCTAGCACAATTCATCATTTGTAATGGCCAGGACTTGGGAGCCCTGGCAGGCTGGGGTTCAGGGGGAGGCCTGCCGACAAAAAGATCCAAAATGGCTAAAATTGGAAGCAAACTCCCCAGGTTCGTCAAAGACCTCAATTAGTGTCCCAAGATGTCCAAAGCTTAAACCAAAGCCAGAAACGTGCATAAATGAGTCTTCAGATGGAACGTATTCACAAAACAGATGTTTTGAAACTAATCTAAATGGGCATGGTAAACATTTATTTAAAAAAAGGCCATTCTTTGACTGCACTTTATCTAGTAATCCACAAAGCAAACTTTTGTAATTATTCTAACATCGCTCTCTTTAGAAGACATGTCTTTTCTGTTCTTGTGATTCTCTTGTCTTTTGTTTTAGCTGGTAAACCTAAGCCAAATATTCCTCTGCTTCTCATTAGCAGACGTGGTACACAGCATGATGGGGAATTACAGAAAAAGCTAACCTTTTATTCTCAGAGATCCTTCTCAAGAGGGAAGATCCCCTCAGCTCACAGGAAATTGCTTTTTAAATGGGTTAAGATGTGCTAAGACCCAAGACATTGACAAAGCCTTCCAGTGATGAAACACCTTGGTGGACACCCTCAACCAGCAGCCTCAGGGTGCTTTAATGATCTTTTTAAAGCTTGTGGAAGTGTGCAACATGGTTGCGGCTTTTGCACAGTTAGGTGGAATCTTAAACTATTAAAATCTTTAAGGGAAGAATTAAAGTTTTTAAAGAAAGTTCCATCCTAGACAGACTGTGCGTACACCATTAACCTTCTTAAAGTGACAATGTGTTGTTTTTACCACTAAAAGAGGCAAATAATCTAAACCAACATTTTCTTGTTGTTTGTGAATAAAGACAGCAATGAGTGGTCAAAAGTAGCATGCCAAAAAGTCTAAGCCATGTGTGACCTACTTTTGATGTAAATTAGAAAGTTTAAAAATGCCAGAGAAAAACTTCTTTTCTGAGAAACCTCTTAAGCCGGGCGTACACTGTGCGACTTTTTCACTTTTTTGAGCCGATTTTCCAGTCGTGCGAGAATCCACGAGATCGGGGCGAGTTTTTCGCCGAGCAGTCGTGTAGTGTACAGGGGGTTACGAGAGGCGATTAACACCACGTGACCAGCTGCCGATCAGCAGTCGTGTAGTGTACAGGGGGTTACGAGAGGCGATTAACACCACGTGACCAGCTGCCGATCAGCAGTCGTGAGGTCGCACGGACTTCTGGCGTGTTTAATATTTCGCTCGTCCCTCGTGAGGGTATCGCACTGTTGAAGCGGCGCTGCGAGCAGCTGCGACCCAAAATGTATCAGAACCGCTCACGGCGCATGCACAATCCTGCATCAACGCCGCTCGCTCGCTATTTCCCTAATAACACACGTTGTTCGTTTTTGTTTCTACACGTTTTTTTACTCACAAAGATTGTCAAGAAAGCGTGTTTGTCGTGTTCATGTCAAACTAAACTGATCACAAAACACAGATTTACTTTTTTTATTTTGTTTTCCTAATCCAACCCCCATAAATCACTGTGTGTCCTCCTGCAGCACTCCCGAAGGACAACAGGCAAAACAAGACAAAAAGTCTGACGTGTTGAGTAAAAACTGCTATTTTTAGCATATTTTTAGGGCCGACGTGTTGCTACCAGACATACAGTGTGAGCAGTCAGGTCGCATCCGAGAACTGGGTCATGCAGTGTGAGCACACGACTCGTGAGATCTGCCCTGCGAGGAAGTTGTACAGTTTGAGTTGAAGCTGAGTGCTACGAGTGAAAAAGTCGCACAGTGTACGCCCGGCTTTATCAAAACGTCACAATGTGGAGCCCTTCCTCCTCCAGTCTGCAGTGTCCAGTGTCTGAGGCCTTCTGGTTTAAACCAGCCAATCAGCAAGCAGCTCATTAGCATATTCAAGTCCTGGCCAATTGGGAGGGACAAACAGCTCTTTTCACAGCAAGGCTGATTTAGGGGGGTTTGGAATAGCCTGAATCAGGGCTCCTGGGACAGATGAAAGCCAAAAGTACATTTCTTATGCTTCTTAGAGATTCAACGCAGAGTTTTAGATTGCTCATAAACTGCATTCTTTGTCCCCTTTAATCTCTATAAAAAATCTATCGAAATGTTGAAAATGAATGAAATGATGCCCGGTTGTAGAAAAATATTGGTGGCTTTGTAACAAATAACCATAAAAATTGAGTCTAAAATACACGAGAGCAGGTCTAATTCTTTGGGTGATGCCATGTAGGAGCCCGTGTGAGCAAAACGCATTTACTGATTTGTGACAAACAATTGCAAAACTTTCGCCATTCATAAACGTTGTTTTACAAACCTCTTCCCTCATTGTCAGTGAAGAAAGGGAGTCTGATGTGCTTGTCATTTTGCTGGAGGTTTTGCTCCTAGGGAATTTCGACCCTAATGGCCACCTGTTGGTAAGGTCTGAAGCCTAGTTTATGCTTCTGTGTGGAGACATGCAACACTCATATCCGTCCTTGCAAGGGCTCTCCAGCAGGCTTGCAAGGACGGGCAAAGTCCAGCTCATTTTTCTAAACATCCGTCGAACGAGACGGAGAATGTAAGCTTGTGATTATTCAGGATGCTGCTTTCGTAAACAGCGCTGCTATTGCGCCCTCAAACACATAAAGAGAGCTGAAGATATCTAATGACAGACACTGAGCAGATTGAAAAAAGCGGCTTTTTTTCATGGAAGGAAATGACGGGAAACGTGAGTTTAGAGGTGGTGAGCATGTGAAGAGGTGGAGGAGAATGAGGGACAAATTCATCCCTGTTGAAAAGTCTCTGAAATATAAAAAACACAATAACAAATGCACTATCTTGGACCAGACACTTGACAGGATACCCCAGAACAGCACCCTCTGTTGTCCTGGCAGGGAATTACTTTGCAACACTCCCCAGGAGACGGAGAAGCCAGAGAGAAAGACAGCTCTGTCAGTATGTGTGCGTCTCTCCCTCGTGGAGCTGGCGCAGGAGCATAAACTAGGCTTTACTCGAACACAAACATACTGCTTGCTTGCAATGATTTAGGCATGTACTGCCCCTTACCGCCAGGGAAAATTCACAACATCACTTTAAACCTCTAAGCCACCTACTTTTGGGTTTTCTGGTTGTACCTTGACCTAGGAGCCACCCCTTGAGGATTTGCTGATTTTACAAACATATTTACAAGCAGTACTATCACATTTTCTAATTAGGAACTATAACAAGAGCAGTGTACCCCCAACTGGACTGCCATTAAAACTTCACACATCAGATTAGTTTTTCGTTTAGATGAAGAAAAAAAATCCAGACAGTAAAAAAAGCAGCTATGATGTACCA